ACTGCTTCATCTCCATGCCAATTGAAAGTCTTAACGGTGCCTTTAACAACATATTTTGTCGACTCACCTGCCCGAGCGATGACTGTCTCGCATTAACTAATTGTCAAATATGCCTTCGAATGGTAAAGCTTGGAGACCGCCTCTAATATATAATGCGTTAAGATTTGACAAGACAGAAACGTTACATCTTCGAGCTGAATCATTATTAACAGGAACCATTTAAGAAATAAAATAAGTTTATAGTTAGTCCATATTTAGTTATTTAGAGATCCTGAATATTTAGTCAATATTTTCTTATTAATCATATGAACTTTATTTAGTGCTACATTTATTTATATCATTTCTAAGATGATTCAGCAAATGTGTTGCAATCCGATAAGGTTTATAAAGTTGAACTTGGTATTGCTCTTATAGGGTGAGTTTAAATTGAGGTTTAACCTTGTGAAGACATCTTACATCTCACCGAATCCCATCAAGTAAAGAGAAGATAGCTCCACTTGAATTAGCCCATAATAAATATCCATGTAACAGTGGTAATTACAAGTAGTTAGTTATTTGTTGTAGCACGTAGTAAGAAATAGGCAAATTTGATAGCAATGATAAATTATCAATAAAGAAGAAAGGCAGACGTACGCCTACAATTGTGAAAGAAAATAAAAAAACACACTGACCCAAACGAGAGCTATTCTTGGATCAGAGTGGAATGACTCAGTAACTTTAACTAGTAGGAAGGGATCAAACATGAAACTGATATCTGAATGAGGAGTCAAATGATCTAATTTCCCAAACAGAATAATTGCCTTCCATCCCGTTTACCAAGTCTGGTCCAAGACTTCAATTGAAAATTATTTTATCTTCTTTTTTTAATTCCTTACATCATGTCGAGATTTAGATTCAACCACTCAGTTTAAAAAAATTAAATTTCAGCTATAAGTGAAAAGATTTACTAAATTACCTACTGTTCGCATTTCTTAAATATGTAATGATATAGCTGTTTATGAACCTTAAATATCCACTGCCATGTGCATAGAACATCGGGTCATAATAGAAGGAAGAGATGTAATATTTTATCCTTCGCGTTGTTTACTTAGTCAAGTGAGATACAACAACAAACAGAGGAGCTTTTCTTTAGGGTATGCTTGAGGATCATGAGAAGCATGAACAGAGAGTTTAATGAATCAGCTTTTGGGAAATGCACTTTGAGTGGAAATATTTCACAGAGGATATCTGGCAAAAGGAACGGAATGGAACATATTTTCTTTCGAAATAAACCACACATACTTGCAAAAATTTAGAGAATTTAAAGAGGTATTACGAAATTCCAGGAAATTAATGGTGATTAGTTGGAAAGTTAATGAACTGTTTCAAATTTAAAATTGACGCATCGATTTTCTGTTATTGGGGGTGTGCAGTGGACTTACCTCCACGTGGTGCACCCTGGGCAGCGTATACTCATACGGCGAAAAAGACTATCACCTGGCAGTTGACTTCAAACTATCGGCAAAAAAATTCTATTAACCGGCAGTTGACTTCTGACTTCAACGCAAAAAGGTCTATTAACTGGCAGTTGACTTCTCACTTCACAAAAAAGTCTATTAACCGGCAGTTGACTTCTGACTACTCAAACGGCAAAAAAGTCTATAAACCGGCAGTTGACTTCTGACTGAAAAGGTCTATTAACTGGCAGTTGACTTCTGACTTCAAAGAAAAAGACTATCACCTGGCAGTTGACTTCAAACTACCATGACCCTACTGTATGTCATATTCGACTACTTTCACAGTACTCATCCCATTGTATGTCATATTCGACTACTTTCACAGTACTCACCTCAACCGTATGTCATATTCGACCCCTTCCACAGTACTCATCTTACCTCGACTATTTGTCATATTTGACCCCTTTCACAGTACTCATCTTACCTTGTCATATTCGACTACTTTCACAGTACTCACCTCACCTTCTGTAGCACCTTATCTACCTTCGTCTTTGATACACTCTTCTGTTTCCCCCCCCCCAATCTTTAATTTTTTACACTTTGATGTTCCTTCCCCTCTGTGTCTTGAATTTTTTACACTTTGATGTTCCTTCCCCTCTGTGAGACTGAAGCCAAAAATCAAAGCGCCTGCCATTTGATATAATAATAAAAATGATTAAAACGCCTGCCATTTGATATAATAATAATACTTTGAAATGGGACTCCTGCCATTTGATATAATAACAATATATAATAATTTTCTGTTATTGTTGAATGTGGTCATGTTAGTATCGATTTGTTGATTGTGGTCATTCCTATATCGCCTCCTTCTTAATACAGTGTTCTGAAAAAATAGGATCTGTAAATTCGTTCTAAATTTACGAAAATTGAGTAGAAAATTAAAATATTAAAGATGGTATGATGAGGTGTCTCCCTCGAAAGCGTCTTTGTTTATTGAGAGTAATTTTGATACTGTTCTATTTTGACGGAAGGCTAATTTTCATTTCATAGCTAGAATTAAAAACCACCCATAATGAACGCCGTAAAAACTAACCTTTCGTTAGATAAACTTAACGCCTCAGCAAAATGACATCTTCGTGTTTTAGATACTTAGAGCTAACTTCTATCCTTCCCCTCTTCACAGTTCAATTATAACAAGTTTACTTTGTTTATTTTAAAGCAATTCATAATCTCCACGACGAATGCACCAAAAATCAATGCGAAAATGGAGGGATCTGCAAACAAAGCTCTGGAGAAACGTTCTGCGTCTGCCCGTTTAATTATGTTGGAAAGAACTGTTCTCGAGGTGAATGTGGTCACACTTACTGCTTCAACTTATATTTTAACAATCAAGCAACAACTAATCGACTCTCAATTCTACAAAAATGAGGAATTTTATTGGGTTTTACAAGAATATTTTGTTTTTCATTCAGTTGGATTACTTATTCAAGTTGAAATGAATCTCTACGTCAATGGACTGCCAATTAACTGGAGTTATGTGGATAAAACGGAATCTGGAATTAGTAATGCTGCTTGCAAAAAGGTAATGTGATTGATTTATATCGATCTAATTTTCTTGCTAACTGAAAAATATTGTGGATGAAAATGCAGAGAGTGGACGTCTTAGCGTCCCCAAGTGTCCACCACTAGTGATTTTTCATTATTTTTGTTTATATGTAATTATCTGACATAAGTTTTAAAGTGTAAAATTATCTATGCATTTTATGGCAACATTGCTAGAAGCGAAGCTGTTACCGAAGTAAACATTAAATTACATTGGACTTGATTTTAATTGTTAGCTTTATTTCACATACTTATTCATTCAAAAACGAATTCAATTTTTGTATATATTTAGATATCGGAAATTGTCTCGGGCCTCATTAGATTATTACCAGACAACTTAAGCAAACCTTAATTTGCATGAGACGATCTAATAAGACAGGAAAGAAGTGTAGCGGATTGCTACGCTAGTAAAGCCTGACTGACTCAGAAATCTCTATGACAGATTCTCCAACATATAGCTAGACTCCCAGAACCAGCTAAGCTATAGCCCCAGCTATGAAAGGGAACAGGCGTGTAGTACGGAGCACGTTTATTCAGTACGTACATTGCGGATAAAGTGTGCACGCGGGGAGCTACTCATGATCAGGGTGGGGGATTAGGTTAAACAAACGGAGGTTAATGATTGGTCACCTCCCAATCCTGGCGAGCAGACATGCAGGCATACGATGAAGCACAAAGCGATAACGTGTCCCACAGAAGAAAGGGATCAAGAAGAACCAAGTTTTGAGGACGTGGAGAGCTTTACTCATTTTAATTGTGGAAGTTATATAACGTTGGTAAACTCAGTAAAATACGCTTTACACTATTCCTGTTTCAAAACTAAGAAGTGTAGTGGATTGCTATACAGATATGCCCTGACTAAACATCAACAATCTCCATGTCAAAATCCCCGAGTATGGAATGGCTCCCAAAATTCACTAAGCTACCCAAGAAATATCGAGGGAACTGAGCTTAGGGTAAGAATAGCGTTCATTGTGGTTGTTACTGGCATAGGACTGTCATTAAAATACAATTTTTGGCTACACTG